AATCCGATAATAGAGTTCATGAGGTGAAAAAAAACCTCACGAGTTTCTAGTCTCTTTGATTGACGTCAAGGATGCCTTTGTCGCAAAAGTCATGAAGGCAAATTTTTTCTTCATTGTGAATAATCCTCGTGAACAGAATCTATCTTCTGTGCATCTGCAAACACTGGATCATTTGCTACTCTCACAGAGTCTTTACAAGCTGTCGTTCGTTCTCTGTTTGCTTTGATACCCATTGGACCGTGGTCAAGATCGTGATAGTTGTTGAGACGGTTGGATTTTTTTCCCTTCACGGATTGTATTTTTGAGTAAGATAAGATTGATGTCTAGAGGCTTTCGTAACTATCACAATGATGAGCTCGTTGATTCAAAACACTAGAGAGATTTCACAAAGAGGGAAGGAAGTAAGTTTTTCCCGCAACATTTGACAGAGCTACCGAAGTTTTGAAACTCAAAAAGCCCGTCAAATTCACGTGTTCTCAAAATCATTATGATCCCTACCAATATAGCAAAGTAAGACGCGAAACCTCATAAGCTTCATTGCCAGTACATCCAAGATTCGAGAACACGTCAAGAGTATGCCCACGTTCGGCGCTGATCTTTTGGAACTTACTTGACCTTTTGGAACATAGCGTAGGTAGTGCCCTCCCCTTTAGGCTGATCATCATTGAAATCAGACATAGTTTTTTTTGGCGAGGAAGAACTCCCCATGGCTGACTGGAATTTCCTTCCAATGAGTACGTCTCCGCTGCTAGGCTTTTAACGTGGCTACTTGAACGCGGAGGTCGCAGATCAGAAAGATTGGAAACTCGCGAAGTTTTTTTTTCACCGCACGGAACCTATAACCCGAGTGAACAAATGAATGACATTTGCATAGTAGGGTGAGGGCTAATTAACACTAGGTGAGTGATAACTAACCGTACCCAAAATTTATGAATATAATATATTGAATTTGTACATAAAAATAAGAATTTGTTGTTCGTATTGAAAGTTTTTATCTGTACGTACTTGACATTTCTTATGTGTATGTATAGGAGAATTTGTATTGCATCTACATATTCGTTTTTGTGGACATGCTGAATTTAGCCGGTAGTATAATTCAAAATTTTGTAGATACTAATTCATTCCTTTCAAAATTGGGAAGTTATATATTGGGACCGATTATATAAATGTGGAAGTTCTATCAATGTTCGGAAAGGAAGCCCATACCAGCAGTTACACTCCACACAAGTACAAAGGGTTCTTATTCACTCTGAGTGGGTTACATAGGACTGTATAGGCCTATGTAATGTAATACCCTTGTAGAATTTGACGGTGAGACATACAACTTTTGATGGAAAGCACGTGTAATTTAATGACTCACAATACAGCTGTCCACCGCCACTAGGTTCTGTGGAAGAATGAATAAATATTACAACTGTACTATTTACGCTCCATAGACAGTAGTAGATATCTTATGGTCGCATTTTCTGGTCGAATACATCAAATTCTGTTGCAAACCCAAGTTTTAGGCAGCTAGCGCCAAATTAAGCAATTATTTTATCTGTGGTCTGTCCAGCCCCTCCCACAGACAGGCACTACTTATGAAAGCTCATGCAATTTTTTTGCGTTCCACGGAAAGCACTAAATCTTAGACCAACTCATGTGATTTTTAATTGCTTTCACTAAAAAAAGTAAAATTGAGTTATTGAGTTCTAAACGATCTGTTTTGTGCGTCCATCTTTGCAATCCATCTTTTTCGATTTGACGCGTTTCCATCAGCGGTCACTGAAGCATACAAACTTTCTCCGGAGCTGTAAATGAATAGGTCGTTACGTGTAGAATAATGTTCTTTCACGTACCTAGACACTTACCACTCAACAAACGCATGTATTAACTCATGTAGATCAGTTTAACAGATTGCATCTCGATATCAAACTTGAGCAATGTACCTGAAGGTCCAACTTAACAAGGATAAACACCTTTCTTCCGTAGTAGAATAAGCCAGTGCACGATTCCTTCAGAGAGAAGATTTGAGCACATTGGAACAATCAAAGATCTCCTAAAGGATTATGTCGACAGGGAAAGAAGGGAGAGCATCTGCAACTGAAAAAAAGTTGGCTTCACCATGAGGCATGTGGATGATGACAAGATGACAATTCCACGAGTGATTTCACGGAAACCGTTGGCTGCAGGGAGAAGAGAATACAGCAGCAACGGCGAAAGAGATAAATCTTCTCTCTGAAGAATTCTTTTACCTGGCACAGCATATGCATTTTTATCACTATGCCGTAAACGGAAATCATGACATTGCAATCTCACGTATCAGAATGCGTAGACTTTTTTGTCCACAGATCCACAGGGTGTGTGGAGGGGGGCGGGTCCTCAACTACCCCACCACCTCCACCACCGAAAGGGTTAGTTTTGTTCTTGTGAGTGCAAGGGAAAAGCGTTTGTTTTCATTGTCCGGTCGACCGAAACGTACACTTGTTCGTAACGATGAGAAGAAATATCTCTCACCCTCGAGAGTACATATTTCTTATTGTGATGCTATTGGGCTTTGCCCATCTTACCCGTTTGTTTCATCCTTCGTGCTTTATTACTCGGTTCGCGCTCTCCCTCCCCCGGTATCGGTAGTACATTACAGTACATTACTGTACAGCACCTTAAAGTACCGGTCTCAATATACGATGGTACGTCTTGCGCTTTCGCGGTCGTAGAAGCATGTGTAGTATATGATGAATACGACATGTACTTCTCTCAGACGCATGCGTATGCCTGCAACGTAGTGCTCCAAAAAGCCAGCAGTATCAGAAGCATAGTCTTGTGCTTATCCCTGAATGTTCAGAGTCTAGGCTTGCTTTTCCTCGGACGATGTCTCCTCGTGTTGTCCTCTTCTGCAGGGCATCTCCACATCACTTCGTGAGAAATAGCTCAGAGCTGGTATCTGATCCAGGAGTGAATCCATCCACCCGGTGAAATTCGGAAAGCAGTGTCATCCTCTGCATCATCATCCGATATCATCATGGTATTTCAAACTTTAGTGTTCGGGTTTAATTCACGAGTGCCGTTTTCGTAACCATGATATCATCGACCCCTGTTCCTACACCACTGACGAGGGCCTCACTGACTCGATGCCTGAATTATTACCCTATACCCTAAATCTCTGTGCTCTGCGAAAATTTGTTCTCGGACTTTCTCCGTCACCACATCGCATTACAACTCACATGCTCGTTGGTTGGGACATCACGTTACAAAGCCTTATAGTTGACTTTGATTGAAGCGCACTAGGTTACGGTACGGCGTGTGTAAGTTTGTTTTGTTGGCAACTTCACCCTCCCCCCCCACCCCACCGCCCGGTTCCCCTCTTCTTTTCCGGTTAGAGAGTTTGCCTATCTGCATGCCATGCTGACATTGCTGATCGAGGTCGAGCTGGAGGTGAAACCATCAATGCGGTTTCTTTTTACATCTAGTTGAACGAAGTTCCGTGGGGGCAGTTATTCATTTGAGTAGATAAGGTTGCATGATGAGCTGTGCTTGGTGCTTTGGTACTGAAGGTGCGTGACTGGGGTGAGTGATGCAAAGAAGTCTTCGTGTACTTCCTCTTTCATTGTAATGTAACTTTCTACTTCTATTCTCTGCCCTGACCATGGTGCTCGAGGACTCTGGAAAGTCTACAACTCGGTGCCCAGGACTAGCTCTAGGTCTGCACATAAACCCTACGGTCACCATCACGAGCGTGTAACATCGCAAGAAGCGATGAGAGCACCTGACTCTTCGTTTGGGGGAACCGTGTCATCGCACATTCATTACTACTTGTAGTGAAATTTCATGTTTTGCTCTATGAAAGCAGACGAGGTGGAACTGTACTTCTGTCTTTCAAGATAATATCGGAACAGGATCTTGAGCTCTAGTTCAACGAAGACTCACAAGCTTCACTCATTACACGTGAACAAGTTTTACGTGTGTTCGCGTGGTCTTGGAGCAACGTGTTTAGGGCCAAGACGTTGAGTACTATAAGTGGAAGCACAATTTTAATTTCCTACAACGAGCATTCTCTACCATGTAAATAGTCAAAACTCGCTTGTGGGAGTTTAATTAGGTCCTCCGGGGACTCAGGATAGACAAAAAGTGTCACGGACGTATTAAAATTATTCTATGTATATACTTATCCCGTATATATTGTAGTTGATTACGGTCATGATACTGTACTTAATTCTAAATAAGTGTCTATAATACACATAGTTTATTTGAAAGTATACTCATTCTTTCTAGATAGATGTAGACTGTAGTGATACTTATTCTACAAAAATCAACGAGTTACATTCTAGTCATCTTCTTCAAGGTGTTCCGTTGATTTTAACGAGTGTATAGTTAGTCCTGTAAGCGGCGTTAAGGAGTAGGTTAAGTGCTTCATACACTGTAGTCTGTTGAACCGTATGGCCTTGATAATACATGTGTGCCGCGAGATATACTCATTGTCCTCATGCTCTTGCATCACTCGTTTCTCCTTACTCGCCTTCTATCTTCCGCATGAGATGTATTGAAATACCGTTGGATAGTCTACTAAACACATATTCTCGAAACTAAAGCGAGAATGATTTATCTGTTATGGTTTCACTATTCAGAACGCATGTTTTAGATCAAATCTAATGTTCGGTGCCGAGTGTTGGTCCCGACGGAGTATCAGTCGGACGTACGAGGCGGCCATGAAGGGCAGTGTGGACATTATGACAATTATTTGTGCGGCCATGGCCTCTACATCGAAGGGTAAACTTCCCGTCCTTCACGGTTTGCCGACTCCTCTTCTTCAATACTTAGCGTAACATTGAGTGCGACTCAAGGAGAGACTAATATCAGCAACCAGGTCCTAACTCAAGTCAACCACCTGGATACTTAGCGAACAAGTAGAGAAGACTAGAGATGCAAATTCTCTTCAATCTCGGCAAGATCCTGATATGTTAGTACAGTATGACTGCAAGTGGAGCATAGTGTTCGGACTTCAGCAGTGGACAATAAATATTTTTTGAAAAACCTCCAATTGAGTTACGAAGGAGGTAATTTTCCTTGAAGAATAAATTCTATGAGACAAAATGGTCGGAAACATAGACATCATGTAAGAAAGGGTGATCCTCCTGCCGACTAATTAAGATTTTCCTTGTAGAACGCATTACAAGAGCGATTGGTATCTGGAGTGTATCTACAAACAGAGATGGATCGTCATCACAACAGAAAACAATATATTTCTTCTAATCTCTGATATTTGCTTCGTCCCTCTGGTAATACTCTAACCCTGCTTGCGTTTCTGGACCTTGTCCACAACCAGGAGTATTAGGTACTGATTCTGCCTCATCGCCTTAATCGACGGAGAAGTTGTTTCTCCCGCAAAACTCTGCATGGAAGACAAGACAATCCGATTAGTTCTGGAAGACCTGTGAGACTAAAAATATGGTTCTTCTCAATTCTTCTTTGCTTCTGCTTATCTCTACTACTCCAATATAAAAAGTGATCAATTCAGTTAAGTTCCAAAGTTCCAGGATAGGCCTTATATTTAAAAATTGAATCCCACTTTGTATTTACTAATTTCGCAGTAGACCATGCGGAAATTTTATGAGTTTCCACCAACAGCAAACATCATCGATTAGGAAACAAATGAACCTTCCCATGAGATAGTTTTCCCTCCCAAACCTCAAGGCTCCTTTCAGATTCAGGTACATATCTGGTTTTCAACTTCAAGGAGGCTTGCATCATGAGCTTTATATGAGTTGATCCAAATAACTTATGCCCAAACATCAGCGTTCAACGATCTCAACGACTGGAGAGGAGAAAGATTGGTCTAACACAGGTAATAAAAATGACCATGTATGATCATATGCTGCATTATCGTAAAAGGAGGAAGATCATATACCAAACGCTGAATCTACTTATCGGAGAAAACCAACAGGGCATGAGGATTGTTAAAATTGAATGAAAAAGAGGGGCACTGTACTTAGATCATATGAGTATCCCTCGTGGACCACTAAACACTGACGACATCTTTATCTACCCGACAAAAAACTTGGGCAAAAAATGAGACTACACCCACACGGCTTATGTACAATAGATCGTTCTTTCCCTTCAATCATAAACATAATGAATGAAGACTGAGTATATGTACAAGCCCCCTTTAAGGCGACTTGATTGAGTTCTTGTGACATTCGCTTCATAGATGAATAGCTCGAAATACACAGAAAAAAAGACCTCATGCTGACCTGCTCCAGTTTGATTCGATCAAGGTTGTATCCCGTTTCCATGCAAAGTTTGAGCACCTGTGAAAGTTGTGCACAATGATGAACACAGAGGTCAGCTGTTTGACAAAGATGTCATAAAATTCGTAAAATGAGATTAAAGTGGAAAAAGGTCAAAGTAAGGACAAAAGCATGAAGAACTTAGAAATACATGTGTAAACTGGCATTTAACAATCAATTGAGTACCCAAGTCCTTTCTTCTACAGGTGTATCGTACTGTATATCTTACATACTGGAATATACGACAAGGAGTTTACGTCATTGCAGCCAACTTACTTGTTTTACAAAAGTATCAGTTCCATCAACTTCGGAAATCTTTTTCTCTTCAATACGCTCTTCTGTTTGAGGCTTCTCCATCTCCTCCAGCTGCCAAAACCAATTGCGTGGGCTCCAATCTCTAGGTCTTTTCAAGGAGGATAGTGTACTTTCAGCAAAAATATTAAAAGAATAATATCCTACAGATTATGGTATACCAGCAGCTGACAATTAAATATACCCACACTAAGTTAGTCGAATTCGACTTCAAAATTTGAGTAGTATTGGTTTCACGGCACAGACCTCAGCTAGGGTTGAATAGACAAGGCGAACCCAGAGTGATCTAATCCTGCTTGTCTGGAAAAAAGCAAGTAGCGGTGATAAGTTGGCTTACAGAATCATTTCCATTGAAAGGCTAGTTAGACACATATATAATGCCTTGACAAAATTCAAAATCCCTTATCACCCTCTCGCTTTCGAATCAGTAATAAGCATATAGGGTTCCCGGCTTTGCATGAGCAATTGAAATCAAAAGCTTAGGTATCAACCTCAGTGAAGATAGGATCATTTGTAAATCTCTGGTTGCGGATGGCAAAAGCTCCTGTTAAAGACCCGTCTTGCAAGATCAACTGAAGTTGGAGCTCTTTCAGACCGATCCCTGCTGAATGGGCTTCCATACAAGTGTCGGCGAACTCTTCCACTGCCACCTGCACTAAAATCACCCCGGAAGTACCCAAGCTCATTTCTTGACTGCATAGGTATAAGTTCATCGTAAAATCCTAGACTCGAACTCAAATCCAATGAAGAAAGGTGAACTACTTCAGGCTAATGATTTCTCCAGTACACACTCTCGAATGAATCAAATTTTTTTGTCTCTCTCTTTGGGCAGACTTGACCGCGTGAGTTGCTTAGAACGGAATCTAAATGGAACAACATCTTCAAAAGCTGTAAATCAAAAGTTCATCTGGTTTACGTAAACTGAAGCTCATAGACGGAGGCGCGCACATGCAAAAGAACAGCTTCAGTATGAGTGAAGCAGAGGAGCAAGAGTTGAAACCTGAAATGGTTTGCCCAAGCCCTCGATGCGGGCCTGCACAAAAGACTGCTGCAGCCTGTAAGCCAGCTTGTGAGCCACCCTGTTCTGTTCGACCAGATAGTCAGGTACGCTGTTGTCGGCATCAACAGCGTCGTCAGTCTCGTGCACATTTCGTGTCGGGACGCTGGAACCCAGCGTTGCATCCCATGGTTCAGGTTGCTCAGGGAGCGCATCGGGTTCATCCTTGCGATCTTCATCGGCCTCGCGTTGAATTTCTCTCTCACTGGCAGTCTGGGCGGAAACAAGTGACTCCGAGGCAGAATTCAGTTGTTGCGTGCTCAGAGTCGCAGACAAGACTCTCACAGCGGACGACACCTCACTCAGAGCCGAAGATAGAACTGCCAGAGACTGGGATAACGTATTGACAACTTGCTGCAACTGCTCCTGGGTCAGCTGATTCCCGCTACCAGATGGGCGAGGGACTGAGGAGAAATCTGTGATGCCTTTGCGCAATTCAGGATCCGAACTAATTCCTTCTTCTTGAATAAAAAATGCCTCGTCCCCATTGTCTCTAGAGACTTCTTCGGCATCACCGCCAAGTCCGTCAGACTCCGAGGCTCGGATACAGAATGAGGCGTTGGAGCGAGTGCCAGCGCCAGGGCGGAAGGCCCCCGGTTTGGTGGAAATGAACAGACTCAGATTTCCCATGCGTGACAACGAGCACGTGCAGACTACATATTTAGTGGATGGCGCGATATATCGTTGGGAAATGTGGATTGGGGGCCTGCGCAAAGCAACGTTCTTCGACAGCAACTCCATTCCTTCGACAAATCTCCCGGTCGCTTGCTGGGTTTGGTGGGTCTGCCGGCGCCAGCGCCATATACTATGACACTGCCCATGCACTACGGCGACTACGGCACCTTGTCCTGGAACACATAATACTCACCCGTTTGCTCCCGGTCTTCTTTCGAGCCTCCTTTCGAGGTCCAGGGTCACCGCCATGGCTAGAGCTGCTACATTTACTGGGAGCAGCCAGAGCCACAGCTGCTGTCACCGGTCACGGCCAGCCACGGGTCGCCAGTGCTTGCTCATCCATGTTGACGTGAGTACTTATTCAAACATGTGTGGCTGATGCCAACCGAAGTCTATGAAAACACCAAAAATTCCTGGGATGAAGATTAAAACAATGCCGGGAAAGAATACAAGTAGTGGATTGATGTATTAATTTTTTCTAACAAAACGGAAGTCCAAGATGCTCTCGTAGACGCTACAATCTGACTTAGGTACATCTAGAAAATGTCTCACACCACAAGATGTTCAAACATGTCACATCTTTATTGCCTAGGTTTAGGAGTTATATGGAGCTGTGAAGATGTTAGTGATAAAATTTGCAATAACCTATCATGGTAGCTTGCAAGTAAATTATTTCTTTGATTCTGATTTATTGTAGCTAATATAATTTCATTGATAAACGAAGAAAAGATGTTGGTGCAATATAAAAAAAAGAGTTACATGATGCTTCTTTAAATCCTAGTGTTGTATCTAAACATATTTCTTTCGATGGTTTGTAAATATTAAATATAGGTTTATTTCTGGTAGTACATATTTGAATTCTGATATTAATGAGATCTAGAATAATGTCTTCTTTTTTATTTCATCCACGTTAAATCTATAACAAAATTATCCCATATTTTTTATTTTCTACCTTGAAGTGTTAGCAATCATTAATAACAAAATTCATAAAAATCTTTTTTTTTCTCAAAACACTTAAGAGCAACTAGACAGAGCTTTCATGTTTAATCAATAAATTTTACAATAAAAATTTTTTTTTATTGTATATATATATATATATATATGAGCATATATCATGAGGATATTTCCATAGATCTAGCCGTTTTATTTAAAAAAAGGATTGACAAGCTCACTCACAAGCTCATATTTCAAGCACTCTCCATACTCCGTGCCATCAGGACATCAATTATTACATAAACAACCCTTATTACAATTTTGAAGTCTTATCAAAAGACATGGTTGCAGTCCTTACATCCGGCAGCTTCCTTGGCATCCACAAAAGTCCAAGAATAAACTCCATTGTATGTGGTTTTTTTAACAATTTATGTGGTTGCTTTATCATTCCTCTCTCTCTCTCTATATATATATATATATATATAAATATCATATTGTAACTTCAAATTTTTTATTAAGTTAAATTGCAAATTTTTTACTTTATGTTGTCACATAATTTAGATTCAGAACTCTTTATACTTGATCAGAAGTTAAACTCAAGTTTTTTTAGTGACTAAGGTTAATTTAATGTCAGTTTATATTTTAAATTAAACTGGCAATGTACATAAAAGTACTGATGTTAGTTCTTGGTGACATTATTTGGGTATTTTTAGTCTAGCATAAGGTGTTTCATGAACATTTAATTTTAATCATTAACATGTTTCATATATCTGATCGAACCATTTTTATTTTATTTTGAATTTGCGTGTGAATGTTTGAGATGATGTGTATATACATTTGAGTTTCTTCTCAACCATTGGTATTTGATTGGATTGCCCTAGTCTCTAAGTCCGCAATGCTTGTGCATGCTTGAATTGATGTTTTTATGAATTGAAGATTGATCTCATCGATGGATTTTATAGATCTCATCAAGATTAGTCTTCTAATTTTGATGCACTAACTATGACGATACTGAGATTAGAATATCTAACATCTTTAATAATATAAGATGATGCATCATATACTTAATCTCAGCAATGGCAAACATGGTTTTTTGTTTTCATTGAATTACTGTTTGCTGAAAGGCAGATGTTGAGACGTAAATACAAGCTTTCATATTATGGATTGTTCGATCTTCCTTGCCACATGTAGATAAGTAAAATTGTTTCGAGATGAAGTGACAAGAAAAAAATTGCCTTGTTTATTGCAGCATATTGTCACCATATTGAAATAGTTTTTTGGCAAGAGAAGAAACATTGCTTTGCTTAGCATTGTAAACGCAGAATTTTTTTTTATTATTAACTCGGATTTTTTTTGATTTAGGTAGATTGATTCAAGTTGGACTTTGGAATTTCTTGTAGTAACATTATCTTGAATTTTTTTAAAAAGAAGCGTATTGATTACAAAAATCATATAATTTTATCATCAAAAATTATATAAATAATTTTAATTTAAAATTTAATTTGATTAAATAAGAATAAAAATTTATATGTGCATATAATTTTACAATAATTCATAAATAATGAATTTTAAATATTCATGTGCAATTAAAAAAATTATATGAGTAAGAAAATGTTTTACTAATTTTCAAGTGAAAATTGTATTTTATAAATAATTAAATCATTTATATTTGAAAATTATATGTGTTGAAATGAATCATGATTCTTTACATTAATTTGAAAAATATATATAAATTTTTTCATTCATAAAAAATCTGTATTAATATTTAAAATTTGAGATGCATTTGATGCATATCAAAATGCTAATGTCAAACAATATTTGTTTACATTTTCAAAAAATGGAGAAAAAAAAGTGTTGAAAGGTAGATTTTGATAGAATACTTTGTTGTGTTTTTTTGCATATTTATTCAGACAATGGATTTTTAGAAATTTTTTTAGATAATAATTTAAAGCTTTTAAATGATTATTTTTAGATTTACAAACTTCTTCAAATATATACCCAGAAAATTTTTAACTGAATAAAAGCTACCATAATCAATATCATATCATTTATTTAAAAAATTGCAAAAACATAATTTACCAAAAGAATAAGTGGTACAATTTAGTGGGGTTCAATATGTAGAATGTGCAGGTACAGAGAAATTTTGATAATTTGTTTATGTTAAAATTAGATCTGCTCTCTTATATGATTAGAGACTAATCTGCTTCACTTATTGCGATTAAACTAACCAAAATTCACTAAAGTATCTGTTTGATTTCCTTTTTTATCATGTTAAGAAGACTATTACTTTCAAAATCTTATAATGGTTTTGCAAGAATTTTCAAATATTTATTTAATGTAGATCAATATGTAAATTATTATTTACTTCAACTAAGTTTTATAAATATCACGATAGATATAATCATATAGAGAAATTGAAAATTATACATTGATGAATTTTGTTTGTGTTTTGTGCATAATCTGCAAAAAAAGTACAATGGATTTGAAATTTTTTTTAAAATTTTGATAGATGCATGAACAATATTGAATTAATCATTTATTTTGATTAGCTCAACTTTCTTATTAGAAATTTAAATTCAAATAAAAGATGATGCATAAAGTCTATGTATTTTATCATATTATTCATTATTGGATTTTTTTGAAACAAATTAGGCATTTTTATTGAAGAAAATTATTTGATGAAATTTTTGTGTAATGCAAAACATTTGTTGGAACGCAAAAATTTATTGAACTCAATATATTCTTCAATGCCCCTAGCCAAGTGTCATCCATGTTCTAATGCGAGGTTCTTTTAACTATATAGTTTGTGGATATAGTGTGCAAGAAGTAATTAATCATGAGCAGTCATGGTTATATTAGTCGGTCGCTTAAATCACCAAAATTGAATCAATTTAGTTGCATCAAAAAATTTAATTTAGACAAGTTAGTCCCCTTGAGTCTAAAAGCCGTCTTGACTGCGCTTGAAAACAATGAGGTATTCGGGGAAAAAATTACCATCACTCATGGATTGCAGTTCGGTTTTGAGACTCCTGGATGAGAGAAAAAATAATTCACAAACTCTAAATTATGAACTCGGTGAGTTATGAAACTGACGTGATTACAAACTGATCAACAATCATCACACCTCATTGTATGAGATTTTTCACGCTTCAATTCTGAGCCAATCACAATCTAGATGCTTTGGTTAATTTAGGCGCTAAAGAAAGCATCAATCTAGATAATTTAGTCACCTAGGTATATGGTCACCTAAAATAATGCCTGGTCATGAGACTTAAGTGTAATCATGAGATGAAATTTGCCCAACTTTGTACAACAATTTTTTCAATAAACTTTGTTTTGAAATTTGATGAGTAAACTATGAAGATTTGTATAACACTAGAGGAGAAAAATTTCATATGACCATTGACAAGCAATCTTTTCATGTAAGTACCATCTTAGTGCAAAACAATGAGAATGCATGTGAGAGTAGGTAATATGACACACATTTTTTTGTTATGAACATGATGAATTATAAGAGTGATTGAATGTTTAAGGCACTAAAATTGTGATCATCATTAGTTGGCCATACATGGATGTTTTTTCAATGAAGTGTATCTATATAATGTGCAAGATTTTTATTTCTCTACACAACATAAAACTGTTTTGGTTCTTTTCATGAATATACTCACCTTCATAGTTTGCTTCTTGTCTTGCATAATGTTCAAGACTTCAAATTTCAAGCGTTCCAAATTTTCAACAAATGCATAAGTAGACTCATAACTGTATGTCAATGTAATTTCTACTCAGTCTTAGATATCTTACAATTCTCTTGTTAATAGATAGAATTTTTTCAAACTCAATTACTCGAGGATGAAAATATTTATCTAAAAATTCTCTTGGTTGTTTTAATCTTTGCAATTGAGTTGGAAAATTCAATGACACCGCTAATGGCAAATATATGTTTGATATTGTTCTCATTTGATGAAAGTGTTCATCATGATTATAATAGAAATATTTAATCTAAGCATTATTCTTCAAGCAACAAAAATAAAATTGGATTAAAAAATTTGCAGATTTATTTCTACAATAAACTAGGAACACTACAAAGTGTAATCTGAAGTGAAGTTAACTGATCATAATATATATTTTTGTGAGCACTAGATTGAAGCATTTTTTAAATTTTAACACTCTCAAAATGTGGAGTTTCACTTATCTAAACATGCTTCTCATCCACATATTCTATAATTTTTGCAGTTTCTCTCTTGCA